TTTCTAAGGATTTTGTCATATGATTTGTAAGTGGTTTTGTTTGCATAAGATGGATTTCTTAAGTATCTTTTATAAAGTTTAGATTTTGTTTTAACAGATTTGATGATTCCTAAAGTTATCCAAGGTTTTGATACATCATTGAAAATTTTTATTTTCTTGGTTAAAAAAGGAAAGCACTTGTCATATAAAGAACGGATAGTTGTGTCAAAAATATTGTAAGATTCATTAGGATCATTAATTGAGATTACATTATTCCAATCTGTGTTACTTAACATTGATTTAAATAAATTGATGCACTCTTTATTGACTTTTCTGTATTTAATTAAGACTGTTTTAGCTTTTGGAATCGGTGTTCAATATACACAGGGGTTTAATAGAGTAGACTCATGTGTTCACAAGGCACAGATCTTCACTAAAGAGGTGTTCATTATGGTAGTTTTACTGTACTGAAATCACTGTCTGGGAATCGGTGTTCACTTACACACAGGTGCTCAATAGAGTAGACTAATGTGTTCACAAGGCACAGATCTCCACTAAAGAGGTGTTCATTATGATAGTTTTACTGTACTGAAATCACTGTCTGGGAATCGGTGTTCACTTACACACAGGTGCTCAACAGAGTAGACTCATGTGTTCACAAGGCACAGATCTTCACTAAAGAGGTGTTCATTATGATAGTTTTGATGTACTGAAATCACTGTCTGGGAATCGGTGTTCACTTACACACAGGTGCTCAATAGAGTAGACAAATGTGTTCACAAGGCACAGATCTCCACTAAAGAGGTGTTCATTATGATAGTTTTACTGTACTGAAATCACTGTCTGGGATTCGGTGTTCACTTACACACAGGTGCTCAATAGAGTAGACTCATGTGTTCACTGGGCACATATCTTCACTAAAGAGGTGTTCATTATGACAGTTTTACTGTACCAAAATCAATGACCGGGAATTCGAGTTGATGTTCACTTACACACAAGTATTCAATAAAGTAGACATATGTGTTCACTGGACACAGATCTTCACTAAAGAGGTGTTCATTATGACTGTTTTACGTACCGAAATCACTGATTTGGAATCGGTGATCACTGTACACAGGTGTTCAATAGAGTAGACTCATGTGTTCATTGGGCACAGATCTTCACTAAGGAGGTGTTCATTATGACTGTTTTACTGTACCGAAATCACTGGATGGGAATCGGTGTTCACTATACACGGGTGTTAAATACAGTAGACTCATGTGAGCACTGGGCACAGATCTTCACTAAGGAGGTGTTCATTATGATAGTTTTACTGTACCGAAATCACTGGCTTGGAATCGGTGTTCACGATACACAGGTGTTCAATAGAGTAGACTCACGTATTCACTGGGCACAGATCTTCACTAAAGAGGTGTTCATTATGACAGTTTTACTGTACTGAAATCACTGGCTGGGAATCAGTGTTCACTATACACAGGTGTTAAATAGTGTAGACTCATGTGTTCACTGGGCATAGATCTTCACTAAGGAGCTGTTCATTATAACAGTTTTACTGTACTGAAATCACTGGTTGGGAATCAGTGTTCACAATACACAGGTGTTCAATATTGTAGACTCATGTGTTCACTGGGCACATATCTTCACTAAAGAGGTGTTCATTATGGCAGTTTTACTGTACTGAAATCACTGGCTTGGAATCGGTGTTCACGATACACATGTGTTCAATAGAGTAGACTCATGTGTTCACTGGGCACAGATCTTCACTAAAGAGGTGTTCATTATGACAGTTTTACTGTACTGAAATCACTGGCTGGGAATCAGTGTTCACTATACACAGGTGTTAAATAGTGTAGACTCATGTGTTCACTGGGCACAGATCTTCACTAAGGAGCTGTTCATTATAACAGTTTTACTGTACTGAAATCACTGGTTGGGAATCAGTATTCACAATACACAGGTGTTCAATAGAGTAGACTCATGTGTTCACTGGGCACATATCTTCACTAAAGAGGTGTTCATTATGACAGTTTTATTGTACTGAAATCACTGGCTGGGAATCAGTGTTCACTATACACAGGTGTTAAATAGTGTAGACTCATGTGTTCACTGGGCACAGATCTTCACTAAGGAGCTGTTCATTATAACAGTTTTACTGTACTGAAATCACTGGCTAGGAATCAGTGTTCACTATACACAGGTGTTTAAAAGTGTAGACTTCTGTGTTCACTGGGCACATTTCTTCACTAAAAGGTGTTATTATGATAGTTTTACTGTACAATAATCAATGGCTGGGAATCGGTGTTCATTTAAAAACAGGTGTTCAATACAGTAGACTTATGTGTTCACTGGGCACAGATCTTCACTAAAGAGGTGTTCATTATGACAGTTTTACGTACCGAAATCACTGATTTCGAATCGGTGTTCTCTTTACACAGGTTTATAATCGAGTAGATTCATGTGTTCAATGGGCACAGATCTTCACTAAGGAGGTGTTCATTATAACAGTTTTACTGTACTGAAATCACTGGATGGGAATGGGTGTTCATTATACACAGGTGTTCAATAGAGTAGACGCATGAGTTCACTGGGCACAGATCTTCACTAAAGAGGTGTTCATTATGACAGTTTTACTGTACTGAAATCACTGGTTGGGAATCGGTGTTCACTTTACACAGGTGTTCAATAGAGTAGACGCATGTGTTCACTGGGCACAGATCTTCACTAAAGAGGTGTTCATTATGACAGTTTTACTGTACCGAAATCATTGGCTAGGAATCAGTGTTCATTTACACACAGGAGTTAAATAGAGAAGACTCATGTGTTCCCTGGGCACAGATCTTCACTAAAGAGGTGTTCATTACGACAGTTTTACTGTACTGAAATCACTTGCTGGGTATTCACTATACACATGTGTTTAATAGAGTAGACTCATGTGTTCACTGGGCACAGATCTTCACTAAAGAGGTGTTCATTATGACAGTTTTTTTTGTTTTTTTATAATTTTTTTATTTCAAAGAATAAGCATGTTAAAGCAATTGCAAAAAACAGTTACAGTACAGTTACATGATAAACATACATTTTACAATTTTACAATACAGTATTGGTTAAAAGTTATACCATTGGCATTCATCAGTTCATTTGTTTAATTTTGCTTCCATGATTTTCCACTTATCGCCTCTGCCAACCCGTGTGTCCATAATAAAATATTCCTTCACATTACTGAAATCACTCACTATATACAAAATTGAGATGTATATATCCTGCCGCCCCTGCAAAATAATGGACTCGCCCACTTGGTCCCTAACCCTACTATCACACCAAACTAGTTCTCACTACGTTCTCGAAAACGGGCTTCAACTGTGTACGAACGGACTGGACCTACTAAGAACCGTTTGGGATCTATTTACAAACTTCATCGAACGTACTCGAACGGGTAGGTCCTCTAGAACTTAGACAATGCTCAAAATGTACTCGTGGTCGTCACGTTCTACAATTAGAACGAGTGACAACGTACTAACGACGAGCTGGACGTACTACGAACGGAACCGTCGTACTTCAATCCTACTAGGGACGTTTTAACAACGAGTTGAACTGTCTGAGGACGTGTTGAGAACGAGGAAGAATTAATTGCAAACGGGTTTAAACTGATTAAGAACGTATTTAACACTGCTTATGAACGAGTTAGCAAAAATATAGCTATCACACCAAACAAGTTGCAACTGCGTTCTTCAAAACTGGTTTGAAACTGTGTGCGAATGGAATGAACGTAGCTGCAACTTTCTAAGGTCTATTTACGAACTTTATGAACGTTCTCAGACGGGATTGTGATTTTAGAATTTTGAATCGATTCAAAGTTCGATGGCGACCATGCCGTTCTGTAATCAGGTCATGTTGACCTTCTAGACTAAGGGACGCGTTCTACGACGTTGTACACCGACGTGGTGCGACCTGAACGAACTGCGAACGAGATGGACGTATTGAAGACTGTTTAAGGACGAAGAAGCTAATTATTTCAGACATATTTCCCGACCACAGCCAGATTGAGCCCGTTTTACGACGTTTTCGTAGGACTGGCAAGAACGGGTAAGAACTAGTTTGGTGTGATAGGGGGGTTAGATCCACTTGCAAAACATATATGGCCCAATTTACGATAGTTGATATTTTCAAAAATACAAAATTAAAATATGGCGATGATTTCTTCTTGAATTGCAAAGGAAACACATAATATTTCATAAATTCGTAAGCGGCATCATTGGAACTATATTGCCATTTCGTTACCTGAGCAATTTTCAAAGAAAGGAAAAATTAACATATTTTCGTTGATCGTTCAATAAGTCTGGTTTAATTTCAAATAATATTTTATTTACCACATTTGTGAGTGTAAAACAAACAATAAACACGTTTCCTTGGATATTGACTTGTAGAAATAAAAATGTAAATTGAGGCAACGTTATCGTTTGAAATTATTAGCCGCAAATTATTTTGCACAACCCCTATGTCAAAAGTGATAACTTAAGAAATGGGCAAAATACACTCCCCTCCATAAGTTTGGCAACCCTAACTCCCTCATTGGACTACGAAGAAGTGGAGATGTAACTTAACTTCGTTTCCAATGCTCCCATTTTTCTTAATTACAATAATTGTAAACTGTTCACAAGACAGAGGGCCAATATAAGTTTTGAAAACCCCACCAACGCTAACATTCTGATTGTTGCTGGCACTACTGCGCACGTTGAACCGATTGACTGAAAATAAAACTACGCGTGCAATTTTTTTAAACATACTTCAATCAAACAACTCTCATCATTTCAACTATTTATTATCGTGTTCATTGATAGATTTAATTGTGTCCCTAAAGTGCTTAAGTTGTAGGTTAGAAAAATAACTCTCTGACCGGTGTAAAAGAAATGATGGTCCCCCAGGATTATGGTTCCCTTTCTTAACGGCCCTTACTGGCCCTGATTGCGTATAAGATAATGAGGGAAATAGTTGTATTTAGCTCACCATATAAATCAATGGAGAGTAGGACCATAATTTGATAGGACCTCCTACCCTTTTACACCGGCCTGCGTCACCATAGGTGTCTCAAAAATCGGTTGTGTCAATTTCGTGACATATACATGTATTAGTCCTTGGTTCTCAAAGATTAATGGCCCTCTCAAGGTTCCAATCATTTGGAACATTTCAATAAGCGCGATGATTTCTCGTCACTATCAATATAATTTACAGAGATGGGGTGAGATATCATAAAGACCATCATATGAATATTCAAGGAATATCAACTTTCTTGTATCCCAGCTTTAACTCTCTGTCTTCCCCGATATAAGTTTAAACCATTTTGTAATATTCATTATTGTGGACCATTAGATTGATGTCACTTCACAATTTGGCGATCCCCATGCTACCTTAGTGAGGTATCCACATCTAATATAATGGCCATCAATGGCAGTGGTAGGGATTGTTCCCCCGGCACTGCCAGTGCAGGTAGTGGCTGGGGTCCCCGTAACTTCCAAGTGAGTTGTATGAGGGGCAGGGCCGATCGTTTTCGCTCCTTTGAAGTATATCCAACCGTCTTCAGATTGGGAACAATCCATTAGTCCAAGGAACATCCAATAATCGGGCCCCCACCTGGAAATAATCAGTTAAAGCCACATAGAGACATTTTACCTATGTTATAAAACCCCGAAAAGGAATAAATATAACACTGTGTTAAATAAAAATGAGATTAAGAAAATATTTTGTGGCTCAGGCTACGAAATAAAGAAAAAAGAAAAAGATTTGCCATGGCCGGGATTCGAACCATTTTTTATTTTTGGTTTTTATTATCATTATTTATTTGCTAACACTTTTATAGCAGTGGCACATGGTTACATTATCCAGTGCGGCTACATACAACTATACAGTATGAATAAAAATATACAAAGTCATGTATAATTTCTTTAAAACAATGTTAGATGTAATCATAGACATAAATCTAGCTCGGGGCTTGTACAATTGGATTATGGCGTTTTACAATGCTGTCAAATAAGCTAAAATAGTCTTGCCCCCATTTTGAAAAAGTCTCATTACCAAGCATAAATGTCAATTTTTCAGTTAGATTACCCTCGATGAAATCAGAAAATAAATCGGGACATTGTTTACAAACACTGTGGAAGAAAGGTCCATGTTCTTTTTTAAAATGTTTACACAACAGCACCCTATGCTGCAAGTCTTCAGGTACATTCAAACTACAAAGTTTACATTTGCCATCACTTTTGCCCCATACAGAGTAATTGGATTCAAGGCAAAAATTGTTGGTTCTTGCAAGAAATTTGAGTCTAGAACCATAAAAATCAAAGTCTTGTTTTTTTCATTTTATTTACATCAGGACAATTTATAAATGTTATTCAAAGTGCTAGGATGTAACATCAAATGAAAAGTGATCGTGAAAAATTGACAAATAATGATTCAATCTTGTTGAGCCAGTTGATTTCTACAGGGACCTCAGAAATGAACAAATATTATAACTCCGAGTTATAATTTCTATACGCCTTCCCTGCGGCCTGTAAAAATCTGCATACGCCCTGCGGAGGCCGCAAGGCGAGCGTAGTTTTTCTACGCTCGCCGCAGAAATTCACCGATTTAATTGTTCTGCGGTCGACTTTCGGCCGCCGTGCGACAAATGTGACTGGGGTGTTACTAGCCAAATTGTGTAATATGCTTCTAAACAAGCTCATATAAAAAACCAAAACAAAACAATGAGCAGTATAGGGCGCAAACAGCCTTACAACGTCAAAAACGACAAGCGTCACATTTTTTACAAGTTTACTCAACCTAAAAATAAAATACTTTATCGTTATCTAATCTTTACAAAATTCACAGGGTAGCAAGATCTCGAGGACAATATTTCTAAAATGTTTTTGAATTTTGAAAAACGGTCAAGAAATCCATTTGGGGCGTTAGTAAATATTGATATGTATGGAATTTGTGGTACAAAATCGATGCGTCACATTTTTTCAAGTCTCGAAAACCAGCTCTTATTTTAATATTATTTGCAAAATAGACAAACTGGTTATTGTTTTGTAAATTTCGCCATGGCAATATTGTGCAGTTAATTTTTCTTTCAAATCAGACCTAAATTAGAAGGTTAAATAAAGGTAAACTTATTGCTCGTCCCATTCGCTTTCAAAACCTTACACAATTTTTAGATTTTTAAAAGCGTTCGTTTTAAGATAATTTGAACTGTAGCCGTCAAGCAATTGTGACGTCATAAATGCACATGTTCGATTGAATAAAATGTGAAATTTTAGTGCGATTTTGATCATTATTTCAAAAGTTATCCCAATTTCAACGAGCCCCGTAAGCGCAAAGTGTTACGTCTTACAGCGTATTTGACGATGTCGGGGTATATTTAACTTTAAAAATATGTAGGATCCCATCAAAATTTTGAAGGAAAAATAATTTCACTGAAATGCAAATAAAAAATACTTCAAAAAGGTATATAAAACACATAGTTAGCTTTTTAAATGAGGCAGAGATTAACGCTCAATGCTGAGATCAGCCCGCATTTCCCGAATTGTCCCCAGGTCCTTGCACGTCATATCTACTACTTTTTCAGTTATAGTGTAAAATATAAAATGACACATACAAAAAATGAGAGCCATTTTGGAAAAATGGCCGCCTACTATCCAAAGTGCCAGAATGCAGTGTGCCATGCTTATGAGTATTCATACATTAGATATAAACAAAATCACTCCACTACCTTTTGAGAAATGTTTATGTTTATGTTTATGTTTCTTTATTTTCCTCCGTGTTGGGGAGAGCATAAAAATGTACATCAAATTAAATTAAATAATATACAAAGGTTAAAAGTATAAAAAGGCGATTCAACATATTTACAGAAGCATGTTCTTCAGATGTACTATTTACATTGTTTAGGATGAGGGTATATTCAAGTATACTCCTCAAGAGTCGTGGAATCCTGTGGAACAAACCTGAAGAAACCTTTAATGTCAAAAAGGCTTACGCTACACATTATTATGAATTGCTCAAACATCAAATCATCCAAGAACAAATCTGACCTACTGCCTAGGAGTGTGTGAGTTAGTTTTTCATCGTCGAGGTTAAACAGGTTTACACCCACACTTATAGGCAGATGGTCGATGAGTTTTTCAAAGAAGATGTTCCTATGCATTGAAAAATACTCGCACTGCAAATAATGCACAATGATACGTTCACATAACCTGTGGCAACTGTTACAACGATACATTTTATAACTTGGATCTGTGGCCAGGTTAATGAGGTTACCAAGTGACCACGTGTATTTTGGAAACTTAAGACCTATTTGCCATGCGAAACACGGTTTAATATTTTGATGAATATGTTGAAATATAACAAGGTTTGAGTTTGCTTTGACTCGATTTTTCCACGACTCTTCTTCTTTTAGACGTATTTGGCCTTTTACAATATTTTTGAAAAGCCTTTTTTGAATGATTTGACCGCTTTTTACAAAACCGTCAACGTATTCCTTGAGAACGTTGTGCTCTGCGACAATACTCATGATATCGCTAACAAAGCCTAAATGGTCAACAGGATGAAGAATGTACGAGGCTAGTCTGTAAAGAAAAATGAATCGTGTAAAGGAATGTTTACAGACACAAAGTCTGTGCCAGAAATTCAATTTCAATATCGTAATAGAATTACATATTGACGTGGCTCCTAAGGTTGCCAGAACTACATCTGAGGAGACTCGACTTTCAAGCCCTTGTACAGTTTTGAAAATTTTCCTCTGGGTAACAGTCAGGGTGTCCTCATCAGCAGGAGAGAGACACCACATTTCAGCCCCGAAAATGGCACGCGGGAGTATGATCGTGTTCCAAATTTTGGAAAAAATCAGTGGATTTGATCCATTTTTGTGTAGCTTAAGCACATTTTTTAAAGAATAAAATTTTGCATTGAGTTTCTTTTTGGCCAATGTGGCCAGAGGTTTTGAATCGAAATTTGGAGTAACTTCGTTACCAACATATGTGACCTTTCTGGTTTCGTGAACTGACTCAGCTCCAATGTGCCATTTACGCATGCCTTGATTTTTTACAAAATTTCTTTTTGACTCATTAAAAATCACAATATTACTTTTGCTGCCTTTACCTGCATGATAAATCATGCGCCATTTTGCGCTGTAAGAAAGAACAATATCTAGGAGTGCTTGTAAAGCATTTGGGGTTGTCGAAATAAGAGTGGTGTCGTCGGCAACGAGTATACATGGTATATGTCGATCCCCTAGCTGAAGACCAGAATTGGAGTCAATTAGGTCTTTAATTAGGGCGTCGATATAAACCAGAAACCAAAGTGAACTGGTAACTCTACCCTGGCCAACGCCTTGATTAATACAGAATTGTCGAGAGTATGTACCATTGTATAATACCAAGGCAGTTGTATCAGTATAACTGTCCACGATGAGTCGCCATGCTTTACCATTAATACCTAAAGAAAATAGCTTGTAAAAGAGGCCCTTGCGCCACAGAAAATCATATGCCTTGTGGTTGTCCAAAAATGCAGCAAAAACTACACTATTTCTTTCTTTAAAATGAAGGATTATTTCTTTGAGAGCAAAGAAAGCAAATTGGCTGCTACAGCCTACCTGGTACGAAAATTGTAAAAAATGAGGACAACCTTTAGCTAAGAGTTTCGGTGTTGACCTAAGGGTTAAGATGCGTTCCCATAACTTGTACATACAACTGGTTAAAGTGAGGCCTCGATAATTATCAGTAATTGTCGACTGCTTACCCTTACCTTTAAATAAGGAAATGATAATTCCCAACTTAAAGGCCGGTGGAATTTTGGCAATTCTAATCATCGCGTTAAAGATCCTACATAAATAATGAAGAACAATTGTATCACAAAATTTGAAGTGCTCAATAGTAACTAAATCGTGCCCTGGAGCTTTGCCGTTGTTGAAAGTGCTCAAGCTATGCGATAATTCGTCAAACGTGATTGGATCCTCAAAAATTCCATCATGCATGCTATGAGACTTTTCTAACATTAATGGGAATTGGTTTTCTATGTAATCATGAAAATTATTGTCAAAGTGATGATGATTAGATTCTTTACCCAAACGTTCATAGTGGTCTACCCAAGCGCCACGGATTAAATCTGGATCGCGAATCATAATACCATCAACTAGTAACTCATGGCCAATATTAAGATTGCATTTAGAATGACCATTGTGATTTTTTACTAATCTATAAAACAAAGCGCTGTCAACTTCGGCTGCATCTTGTAAATCTTTGAGTTGTTTCTGATCGTATTCAAATTTTAATCTTTTTAGTTGTCGCGTAAAGGCACGTTTTTGTAATTTGTAATTGCGAAATGAATCAAAGGCAAGGCCACGAGGCCTACCATCACGAATCCAAATGGTTCTTGCCTGTTTCATGGCTTTGTGCAAAGGACCGAGATTGCCTGTCTTCCAATATGGTTTAAGGAATTTACGAAATTTTGACTTAGGAATAACTTTGTTGCTGCACTGTGTTAAAACACTGCTAAGATTAGAGACGGCATTATCAATTTGCTCTATGGAATCTAATGGTACATTTTCATAATGTGAAATATGATCAGTAACCATATTGGAATATAAGTCGAGTTGCTCAGAATTGGCTTTACGCCATCTGGTAACATTGCGCGAAGTACATGAATCAAGCTTAATATAGGGTAACGTGATGTTGACAACCAGAACAATGGGAAGATGATCAGATACATTCAAGAAATGATCGTCTAAGACGGCACACTCGTTGACTAAGTCAAGTTTACAATTTGGTATAAAAATGTGATCTATACCTGTTTTATGTTTCCCGCAATGACTGGCGTAAGTGAATCGAGGTCCAGAAGTAATATCACGAGAGTTGACAGATACCAAGTTGCAGTCAAAAGCCCAATTCTCGAGGATATTACCTCTGTCATTCGAGACATCACATCGAGGTCCACTAGCGGAACTTAAGTGACCATTGAAATCACCAGAGAAAATGACTAACCCAGAGTCAGCATAGGTGGCGTATAATTCATACAGAGTGTCAATCCATTGTTTAAAAACAGCAATGTCGTGATTAGCTGCCGGTAAATATACTGCAAAGATAAAAATACTATATCCCTCAGAATGAATAAGTTCAATGCCACATATCCTGTCACCGTGTATGATTTTCTTTTTGACAAGCATAGAATTCCTGTATAAAATAGCAACTCCGCCGTAACCGCGACAGTTGCGCTCATTTACTCTGATTGACAAACTTTCGTCGCATATGCCAATTGCCGTAAAGTTGAGATCTAATGAATCTAGAAATGAGATGTTATCAGGGCATAGCCAATGTTCGGTTAAAGTGATGATATCGTTTGATTTCAATAAATTCATGAGATATGGGCTACTAGACATGACACCTCTGCAATTCCAGTTTGCAATTTTTAAATGGCTATTCATAAAATAAGGTAAAATTATGCGAGCAGTAAGTAATGCATGGATAAGGAAAACAGTACATGTTAATAAGAGTAATACACTGTACATTGACATTTTAGGTATAAAATCCTGTGTCGTCGTATCTGTCGAGATATGGGCCATAATATGAATTGTCATCATGATATGCATTGTTGCTATAATCGCCTTCGTGCGCGTTGGTATGCCAGTCATCGTGATGAGGACTAAGTTTGGATTTATCATGCATTGGTTTTGAAACCCATTCTCTACAAACGACATTTCTTGGCCAAAAGTCGTGTTGCAAGGCTTTCTTGAAATCCGAAGCGATGACATTTACTCGGACAAGTAGCCATTCGTTTTCTGATCCAGCTTGTTTACGAGCCATTACTCTGAGCCATGTAACAGTTACACCGCGGGATTCAGCATAACGTGTAAGAGAAGAACGAAGTTGGTCGTAAGGAACGGATTTCACATATGCTAGAGCCAAACGTTTAGTATTACGTCTGTGAGAGATAACACCTTGAAAGTCATCATCAACTGACGCCACCTCGTAAAAATAACGAGCCTCATAATTTGCATTAAGATTATCAGCTGATGAAGTCTTCGAAGTGGTATTAATGACACTCTTAATAGAAGAGCCTTTGAAATCTGTATTATTAGATTTGGGTTTAGCAGATGAGAGATCAGTTTGACTTACGCGCGCACTAACATTTGAAACAGAACTGGCTTTGTTTCGTGCTCGTTCTGATACTTGTTTATGTGGCCAGGGTAAATTAGTCGGAAATGGCTTTCTAGCACTAGATGTGGATGGCGGGGCAAGTGTAAACACATTAAATACCACTCATTAAAGTAGTGGCCATTTTTCAAAATGGCCGCCTTCTAGCCAACGTGTCATAAAACAGTATGTCATTTTATGATTATTCACGTATCAAATATAAACGAAATTGCAAAAATCGTAAAATAACACATGTCTTTCACAATAATTGTTTTGTGCTAAAACATGCTTCGCTGCCTGAAAGAATAATCTATTATCTTTCAAATAAAACTAAAATCATGCATGGTAAAACCTTTTCTAGAACTGAAGAATTCAAATTCAATATAATTTTGGTCCATGATGTTGCCTAGCACCCACCTAGCAACGACACAAACATCCAAAATAGTAAAATTGAAAAACTGGGGGTAAGGAGAATAAAAATTATATCTAAAATTTGGAAAAAGGTATCATCAAAATTCTAATATTAGTGTGCATAGACATTCAGGAATATGCAGAATACTTTATAAAGGTATTCATAGAGTATTTTTTGAGAAAATCTGTTTTTCTTTCAACTCGTGAAATTACTTGACGATTGACAGTTTTTTACCTAAAAATTCATAACAGAGTCAATAGTGGCTCGATTTTCAATTTTATCGGCATCAAGTTCCAACTATCATAACCTTACCCCTCTACCCCCAATCACCTTGGTTTTTACGTCAAAATGGCTTATATCAGTGGCTCAAGCTAAAATAATTACGGAGATTGAAAAGAAGTTGCAAAAAGAACTCTTGAAAATTCGAGTGCGGGATCGGATTGCCCCCCCCCGCAGGCATTAGGGTTAAACTAGTTACTTTGATATAACACAAAAGGCGGTATTGCCCAAGTCGAGTTTACGGAAAGAATTTTTGTTTATAATTTGGTCTAAAGTCACGCCCGGTGATCGTACAAAATGGATGGAGGGGGAGTGGGCGATTTCTGCAAGAAAACTCAACAAATTTGGAAGTTTTATTTTTTCAAGAGAAAATTTAAAACTATATTGCCAAATGAATAGGCGCAGTGCATGGCAAAATATGTTAGGTCTTCTAGTATTTTTTTGAACTGATGTGCTTCTAAGATATGAGATCTATTAAAAAAGGCGCATCATCACTAACGTGCAAAAGTCAATGTTTTTCCTATAAATCAGGCAACAATGGTCTACCCGACCTGTAATAAATATGTATAAGGGACGTTTTTATCACACTAATGACATTGCTCACTTTTTAAAGTTAGTTTCCATGCGTTATACAAAAAATAATCGAAATAAATTAATATTGGATGGAGGGGGGAGTGGATGGAGGGGGGGGGAGTTATATGTCTTTACGATGGAACAGATTCACAAGAACTCGTGTACTTGAAAAAACTAAACTCAGTACCCCAGTAAAAAACTGGATATTATATCTCTGGAGAATGAAAAATGGGAAAATTTGGAGTTATAAGAATAAATTCAAGTAGCATGTCTTATCATATCTTATATACACGTTACTCCCCCCCTCCATCCACTCCCCCTTCATCCAATATTAATTTATTTTGATTATTTTTTGTATAACGCGTGGAAACTAACTTTAAAAAGTGAGCAATGTCATTAGTATTGTGATAATAACGTCCCTTATACCTATTTATTACAGGTCGTATAGACCATTGTTGCCTGATTTATATGCGCCTTTTTTAATAGATCTCATATCTTAGAAGCGTATCAGTTCAAAAAAAATACTAGAAGACCTGACATATTTTAGAACCTGTGTTAGAATCGATGATGAATCATCTATTATCTATTAAAGAGACATGTGCAAACATCTCTCAAACACTGGATGAACAGAAACTTCAAATAAAACAAATTCAAAGTGAAAATGAAGCGTTGAAACGCAATGAACAACAATTGAGAGATTCGGAATTTAGAGCAAAAAATGACTTAAAACAAATAAACTCTACAATCAAAGATAAGAACAATGAGATTCTTCTTTTGAAATCAAAATTGTCTTTATGCGAAAATGAATTGAAAACAAAACTGAACATAATTGAGGGCAAATTAGCTACTGTCCATAAAAATTGTGTCAACACGAACACCACCTTAAATCGAGTTAATGAAACTAGTAAATTGGTGATGACATCTTCTGATAACTCCCCAAGGAGCAACCACTCAGATACTGCAAATAGAAATTCACCTGTCGTCACTGATCCATCACCAATAATGCAACACTGTTCCTCCTCACCGCTCCAGAGTACTGACCTACCTGAACATAATGCTACCGACATAGCCAAGTCCACCATAACTACAACTGCTGATCAACATGCTGAAGACAACAGTGTCACGACAAATAGTGCTGCGATGGCAACTAATGTACTCTCTGATGTTACTACTTCTTCTCACTTAACTTCAGCAACTAATTCTAGTGATTGTGCCCATACTTTCTGTTTAAAAGCAGCAATTACACCGCCCAAAACAACCTATACTAGATCTCCACAAGCGATTAACAAATCCACTGTTAAATCAAAGAAGATTGCTACAGCTAATGTTACAACACCTGTTAACAGTAACAGTTCCCCCAGTGCTTCACTACCTATTCCTACCGTTCCTATTTCTTCGAGATCATCTAACTCTGATAGTGTATCCACCTTTAACAACCCGGACGATATTGGATTCACAGGCGTATATAGTCGACAAAATATTAAACGCCTATTCATATCACGTGTTAGATCTCAACTCCCTTTTGAAGAATTGAGCAACAAACTGAAACTGTATGCACGAAACAAAGGTGTCACTGTTACCTTCGTTCGACTCCTGAAGGAATATCACTCTCCTATCACCACAGCTTATTCCTTAAGGCTAAATGTTGTAGCAAAACACTTTCAATATATAATTGATGATCCTGCCTTTTGGCCTAAAGGTATAATTTCGAAAGAGTGGATTAATAAGAACAAAACTGTATATGAAGACTTTGATTAGTTCAAGTGTTATTGTATATATATTTGTCATTCTTTCTATGACTGCTAAACTTTACTTAATGTCATGGAATGTACAAGGCGTCATGTACAGTACGCCATATTTATGTCAGAAGTTATCTGACATTGATGTTTGTGTTATACAAGAGCATTGGCTTTATCCTTGCAATGTTAATTATCTTAATTCCATTGATTCGCATTTTTCTAGTGTTGCTGTCTGTGATAAATCACTTCCTATCGATATAGTAAATAAACGACGCGGCCAAGGTGGCGTCGGGATATTATACAGAAATTCAATTAAAAATGTTTCGGAATTAGACATTGAAAATGACAGAATCTGTGGAATAAAGATAGGTCTAGAAACTGAACCATTGTATATAATAGGGGTTTATTTACCCTGTAGGAATACGTCGATTTTTGAGTACCGTGAGTATGTTCAAAATTTGATGGATATTTTTGATATGTACAATAGTAAGGGTACTGTTATAATTGCAGGGGACTTTAATGCCCACCTATCCTCTAATATAGGGCCACGCTCTATTGGTGCTATTAACGATAGAGGAAAATGTATCGAGAATTTTATTTTTGATTCTAATCTGGTATGTGCTAATGCACAAAACCTGACGACAGGCCCTGTGTATACGTATTGTAGTTCTGATTTTGAACATCAATCATGCATTGATTTTATCATAATACCTGCTTCTAAACTGGATTTTGTGAAACAATGTGCAGTCCTTAATGATCATGATTTGATTTTATCCAATCATAATCCGATATATATGCAATTTGAATTAGAAAGTAGGTGTTTCGAAACTAGCTATAAAAGTGTTCTAAAATGGAATAATGCTAACGAAGACCAGCTCACTAGATATCGTAATGTTGTTAAGAGTAAACTAAAAGAAATTAACGTTTCGAATGCACATAATCATTCTGATTTGGAAAAGTTGACACATGAAATTGTCGATTGTTTAAATGATGCAGCAGACCTTGCGATACCTAAATCTCAATTTCACCACTTTTTGAATCCTTTTTGGAAATATGGTGAAGTTAAAAATCTTCATGTATCAATGCGACAGTTTAGACGCATTTGGATCTCCGCAGGACGACCAAGAAATCATAACAATGTAGCTTTAACACAATATAAAAATGCAAAACGTCTCTTTCGTGCAGAACTGCGGAAAGCTAAAATAAATTATGAACGTAATCTTGATTCTAAATTTGACAAAGCTGCTGAGCTCAACATAAATGATTTCTATCGTCTGGTTAGGAAATCCAGAAAACTTAAAACAAATTCGCACGAATTACTAGTTGATGGAACAATAATTAGAGATCCATGTCTAATTAGGGACGCATGGGCAGATCATTTTGAGATGTTAGGGACTCCCAAACAGTTTCCACATTTTGATAATGACTTTATGCGAAATATTGAAACTGAGTTCCAACGCAATTACAAAGAATCATTTTCAAACCATGATACTACCTTAATTAATCCTATCGTTACTCAGGAAATACATGATATTATTGTACAGAGTCCTAATAACAAAGCTCCTGGTTTAGATATGGTAACTAATGAACATCTTAAAAACGGTGGTAGCATGTTAGTTAAGGTGATCACTGACCTATTCAATGCAATGATTAGACTAGAATATGTCCCGCAAAACCAAAAAATTGGCGTCATTATTTCATTGTACAAGGGCAAGAAAAAAGATAAATTAATCAGGACAAACTATAGAGGACTTACAATCACCTCTGTTATTAACAAACTTTGGGATACTATTCTCTTGGAAAGGAATATGCATATCTTAAAATGTGCAAATGTTCCGCACAAATTGCATTTTGCCCATAATGGCGGGAGTCAAATGGCCACATTCGTTTTTAAAGAAATAGTAGCTCATTTCCAAGAGAGAAACTCTTCCATTTTCACAGCCATGCTTGATAATCTCCAAGCTTTTGACTTATTGTACAGGAATGGGCTTTTTGTAAAATTATATAAACTTGGAATTAACTCAAAAGCTTGGAGACTCTTTGTCAAATCGTATAGCGACACGAAAGCTAGAATTCTATATGATGGGTCATACTCCCGTGAAATTACTATTAATCAGGGCTGTGGTCAAGGTAGAATTTGCTCATCGCTCTGGTTCATGATATATATTGATGACCTTATAAAAGAATTATGTGATTCTGGCCTTGGAGTCGCACTTAGCGATGACTTAATATTGCCATGTATCCTAGTAGCGGATGATACTACCGTGTTAGGAACTACGCCTAATGAGCTACAAAAATTATTAGATATTGTATATAATTACAGCTGTCGCTGGCGTCTAGTATACCATGCAGGATTTTCCTTAGATAAATGTAAAAGTGCCATATTAATATATGATTTGCATTTAAAACGATATGATGAAACACGTTGGCACCTTGGACGTGAATCCCTTCCAACTAGACACCAACAAATATACGTAGGCAATATCATTGACTCTCATACTCATGTAAGCTCTAAGGCAGCTATAACGGAAGCTTGTCTTAAAGCAACACGTACTTTTAACTCTTTGTGTTTTATTGGTATGTACCGTAATGGTCTCAACCCTCTAACTAGTGCCAAAATATGGAAAAATATTATAATGCCTTCTGCATTTTATGGGTGTGAACTTTGGTTCAATATTAAACAAAATGAAATGGAAAAGCTCGAGCGTGCTCAACGACAGGTTGCCAAAAGAATCCAAGGTTTCCCTATAAGAACACCTAGTGCTATAGTCTTGAGTACGCTTGGTCTATTGTCCGTTGAGAGTTACATCAATAAAATGAAATTCCTGTTTCTTGGCAGATTACTGAGAACTGATAATCTATATGTTCAAAAACAGATTTTACTAATTAGAATATCTAGCTTGCTGGTTAGAAACGTTTTACACCTCAAACAAATGGGCTTTTTGGCTGATATTCTGCAACTTAAAGATTCTTATCCTATTTTATATACTGAGTTTGAACGTTATATTAAAACTACTGTTGTAATGCATAAATCCAAATGGAAAATGATAGTTAACGCACAAATCTTTTCAAAACAACAGCAATTATGGCACCAAATGCTGGATCAGGATGCCTCTCTATATCGCTTTAGAAATAGTCATACAGTGTACGAACCAATAATACATTGGAAATTGGGAATTATTTATCCATTTCACACTTGGAAATTGGGACAGCTTTTATCCTTATTAATACTGAACTCAGAAACTGATAGATGCTGTCCTCTTTGCAATAGTGTGACGAATGACATCACAAAACATATATTATTACAGTGTCAAGTACTATTTCAAGAAAGAGATAATCTATTTAATGCTGTTGTTGATACATTAGGAGTTGTTGACTCAGTGGCGTTATTTAATACTGATGATGAGATATTTCTTGAAACTATTTTAGGTAGCAGAACAGATATGTTATTTGATTGTGATGATTGCATTTGGCAACAATTTTTAATAGTATCTGCGGTGAAAATAGATTATATTCTAAACCATGCTGTACTACATTTAAATATGTAAATACCTAAACATTTGTAAATAATGTATATTTATTATTATTATTTTATTTGTCCTTAATTTTGAGTTAAGTTAAAATGTTAAATTGTAATCTTCATTTAATGGAGGAAATAAAGAATATACAATACAATACAATACAATACAATACTGCGCTTATTCATTTGGCAATTCAGTTGTAAATTTTCTCTTGAAAAAATAAAACTTCCAAATTTGTTGAGTTTTTATTGCAGAAATCGCCCACTCCCCCCCCCCCTCCATCCATTTTGTACGATCACCGGGCGTGAAAGTTAGATAAGTATAGTTTTGGTACATTCGTTTTGGAATTTGGTCTTTAAAAGAAGACGCAATCCTTCGCTTTTGTTATATTGACGAGTCTTCGAATATAACAAATGTTATACATTGACTTGAACGTGTAAAATAACGCCATTAATCCAAACACGAGGGACTTAATATTTTAAACGTGGCTTCATTTTTTATTTAAAAAGCAATAGTCTCTTTTTAACGAAATTATAATCTGTAGGTTAAAAGTAAGTTAAAATCGAGAAATCAAAAATCCTAACCGAACTCGAACCCAGGCAGTTCCTCCATCTTTACTTTTACGTTTCTTGGTTTTACGTAAATGCCCTTGGTACAGTTTATACCCTGCACCGATAATGATCGGGTGGGAATGACGGCGTTACGAAGTAAAAAGGAAAAACAGCCTTAATCCCTTTCATTCCCTTAATTTTAAAATCATTTTTGTATTTTTATACCTTATTTCTGCGTCCAGTGCACTGCACTCAAAACAATGGGTGTAACTGCCATATCTCGCTACTTTATTATGTTGTGGAATCAAACTCAGGGACCTGCGTATTGTAATATTTTCAAACGCACAAGGCGAGTTTTTCTCTTTAAATGATTTTAACGCCTTACCCCTATTTCTAAACTTAAAATTTCAGAACAGAATAATTAAAAGCAACTTACAGATTAAGAGCGTAATAATAGCTATCGGCGGGATCGTTCGACGTCAGAGCGAGAGGCGTCCCCTCTGACGGTTCAGACCCAATTCGGAGCCCCTGATTATCTTCGTGGCCGAAATGATCCAAGTAATTGTCCTGATTTTTCCAGGCATTGTAGTTGTCCCATTTACCACCCGTCTGAGAAAATGCGTGTGTGATGGTAGTAGAGCATGGGTCATCGGTAGCACAATTGGATGAACACGATGAGGTCAAACAATCTGAAGAAAGAATAAATCGCTTTAAGAATTATTCTTGTTCTGCAGTCAATTTCTCAGTGGTTGAACATTCCGTGCCTCCTTGATGCCATTCCAAGAGTCCAGCACTTTACATAACATTTTGTAAATCGGATTATTGCATTTTGTGCCTCGTCGAATGGTCCGCAATGTCATCCGATTTAACCCCCTCCCCGAATTTCCTCTTGTGGGAGGAAAATTCTTCACTACAGCCCAAGTTGATCTGAATGAACTTTAGCAAAGAATAATTGATAAAGTCAATGTGGTACGACAAGACCGGGAATTCATCAAACGTGCTTTGCCGGACATTGAGGGACATGTTCAATTGTGGACAAAATTAAATTTAAAGAAATTGTTCTTTTCAACAACTGAGAAGTAGACGCAAGTCAGGTTTCACATGAGAAAAGTGAATCTAGCCTGTCAAATTGGTACCTTGCTTTTTAAGTACGCAGGTAGGAAAATGCCGAAATTATAAAAGATAATGACAATTTTATACTTTATAACTTTTTTATTGAACCACTCTGAACAGTGTATCTTGTTCGTGATTAGGCCAATCTAGGATAACTAAGGTAAGACGTTTTCACGTGTCATTGAAAATCAAACTGTTATTAAACTGTTATTAAATTAAACTGTTATTATCTGCTATTAATGACGATTTTCAAAAATTTATCAAATTTATCATCAATTTTCGACCTATTGTAATTGAGGAAAAAATTGAGAAAATTTGGAGGTATTGGAAATAAAGTCAAGTTACGTTTCCATCAATATTATAAGTTATTTCATCGCCGGTTAAGTAAATAAAAATTCAAACGTAAAGAGGCTTTAACACGTAGTTCAATGGAGAAAAAAGGTTGCCAAACTTATGGAGGGGAGTGTAATAGTATTAATAACGAGGAACCCTATTATTCTAATAAAGCCAAATTAAATCAAGGGTCGAAAACTGCCAAAAAGTAACCCTAACACTACATATTTCATCATCAGCACGTCATAAACTCGACGATATCATCAGATCTCAACAGATTCTACTCAAGTAACGTTCGGATCCCGAGATCCTTTACTCAAGATATTTTCGGATCTTTATAATATTACTCATCGATCACGTCAGGTCTGATGTCCGATAACATCGCATCTTTTAGGACAAAGTTTATGTGAAGATTTTGCTGTTCAAAAGTGCTATTTTGACCTTATTAATATTTTGACACTTAATATATTATGCATATGACATACATTTACCGACCCAAGTATGTCTTATGCATGGCTCGTTATAATTATCAATTAAAGCGAGTATGAATGAGAAAAACAAATCGAAAACCATTATATACGTTTTACTTATCTCTTAATTTGGACATAAAAATGTATTTCAACTTTAATTCTAGGCCAATTCCGCCTGCTAGAACATCTAAGTAACGATTCTAACCATCCAAGGGAATTGATAGTGGCCTAATATTACATTTATTGTCCATTTTCCAATGAGATGTAGTTTACCAAGCATACTGGATTGGCGGTATTAGCGTGTCTTACTCGGCACTCGGCGGTAGGTTGTATATAGGCGGGTAGACTTCCCCTCGTGACATATCCGATAAATGTTTTTAATTTTTTAAGTATTCACACAGAAAGTTTATGACATGAAATGCAAAAATAATTTATATCGATAGGTTATCATGATCACCAATACTGAATGAAGGCTGTAACGGTGTATTAAAGCGGCAATGTCAAATTCTTTGCTATGGGGAAAGGATGAATGCTTTTTAGTGCGTCGTTAAAGAATGAAGAACACAACTATAGACAACATTTCCCTTTAATTAGGTATCCTCTACAAATGGGTGAATATAATTGAGTACCCAACATGCCACTATGAAATATCAAAAATGACCGTTAATATCCACACCGTGCACAGATGATTTATAATTGGTTAAGGCCCTCTCAGATGGACGAATCCACTAAACGCAGTCTTGCGAATTGGACAAATTGTCAACTCTTGTGATTGGGAACGTAAACATGAGAACCGAACGAAGCGCATCTTGGCGCTCCAAAGCTGGCCGACGCTTTCCGAAGGGATACTTACACATACTAGACTTTATTATTTCATGAACATTGGACTGATAGTCGCAATGTTACAGCACTTTAAGCAAGGTGCCCCAGTTTTCCAATATCGTGCAGTAGGCAAACCTGCACATGTTTTCCAAACCTGTCAATGACATAACTGCATTCCCCAGCAAGTATGGCCTGAACGACACATGTGATCTTTATTTTGAGGTCAAATGTCTTTCTGGTGTTATTACCCTACACTCTATCTTTGGGGTATCCCCACTGGTAAATATTAAATGGGGCCATATCTGGGCTATGGGGCGCCCATTCATTGTCTGTTGTACTGCTGATAATGTGGTCATTGATGTGGTCCCAAAGCCAATATTGTGCATCATTTGGTGTATGGGGTATGGTTCTGTCTTGTTGGAACCACTGATGCTGCCTTTCAACCCCCTGGATTCACCTAAAGTCCCCAAGAACTCCATGGGAATCACAAAATAGAGTTTGATGTTGACAGTTATTGCATCATCAAAAGTAAAGGACCCTATCTTCTGAGAACACACTAAACTGTGCATCTGTCTGTGTTGGGGTGCCTCTCCACTACTTCATAAAGTGCTTGGCTCCCCAAGAATACATAATTTTTACAGTTTACCAGTACATCAAGTTGGAAATGGAGTTCATTTGGATAACAGACCAGCTCAGACAGCCCGAAAGTGGCCATCTGGGGTATGTTGCTTAAAATGCTGTAATATTGTGACTATCAGTCCGATGGTCATGAAATATGGTAGGTTGGTAGGAAATTGTATGGTGTACAAATCTGTAAAATATCAGGGAGTTATTCCTTAGAATGACAAAGATATTAGGAAAAACTAGGGTTGCCGTTTTTTTACTACCCTGTACAATACATATACTAAAGGGAGCGAATTTTACCCAAGTCCTATTCACAAGACTGCGTTTAGTGGATTCGTTCATATGTGAGAGGGCTTTACTCTAACTGACGAATAACTTAACTACTTTACTACCTCAGGTACGGCAAATAAAACTGTCGTTTCTTGAATTAGAACTTACTTTCAATTTGATATGGCGTAACTGTACAGAGGTAGTATGTTTTGTAGTTTTTACAGTAAGTGCGAGGCAATAGGCCTACAAGACATAAAGAGAAGGGAATATTCAAAAATTCATGGATGGTATTTTCCCTTCTAGACTTCTTCCTCTCCATTTTCACAATGGATAGACAATCTTTTTAAGAGACCAATAAACTAAATAAAAAAATATGCCATACCTGTATATATCTGGGTCCTCCCACCTCGTATGAAAACGTCCATTTTGTCTTCCATCGGGACATAAAACATGATGACAGTAGTTTGCATATTTGGAGCTGCTTGAGCTGGTGGTGGCAACAAGGATATTGTGGTCGCTATCTCACCAACTGTCGTTAACGGTTCTGTAGTTGGGCAGAGAGCTGTAGTAAGACCTTCCGTTGTGATGCTATCTGTAGTAAGACCTTCCGTTGTGATGCTATCTGTAGTTGGACTGGCCGTAGACGGGATGGCCTCAGTCGCACATAAAACGCTATAGAACACAAAATCATCCATGGCTATCAGCTCCGATGGTGATGGTTCTCCTATCGATTTCAATTGACAGGTTTTCGAAGATTTTCCATAATTGAACCCCTTACACAAGGGTTCCGAAGTACACGCACGCAAACACCCGACTCGTGAAGTTTTGATTGTTGACAGATGGTACAGATCATCTGCAAGACGGAACGAAACCATTTTTTGGACTGACAGTTGTCTGACTCCATCATTTTGTTCAAAGCATTCGTCTGAAAAGAAAGAAAAAATGTATATATCTTTTACTTTCAAACCGCTTGTATATTCCAAATTAAAAATTAGTTTTTTTAATATTACCACAGGTATTCTCCTTTAACTTTTTTTTACAATTTCATTGAAAATGCTCACCTGGTATTGCTTTTGTCAAGTAAAATCCTAGTATAATTAACAAGAATGGAGTATATTCTAACATTTTAAAAATATAAATTCCACAAAGCAAGTAATGCACTGTATGGCATTTGGGCAGACTGACAATTACAAGACCTGATCATAAGATGGGATCGAAAAATGGTTTGTTTTTAATGGAAATCAATGCCAAGTGGAGTGACTGAACCCGTATTTGTTTTTCCTTGGTCAATGGTGTCATTCTATATTGTAACTTACACTCCTCTCTATAAGTTTCGAAACTCGTATTCCCATTTGACAAGTGTAGATTTAAACTAAAAACGAATCTCAAACATGTACAGTTTCCTTAACATATATACAAGGGATTCGATTTAGGATTATATTTTATCTCTTATGCTCTTTAAGTAGGCGTTTTTATGTCACCACCAAGATATGGTGACATATTGTTATGGTCTCTGTTTTTGTGGCAGCGGTTGGTGGTTGGCGGCCGTGGGTGGCGGGTGGCGGTTGGCAATGTCATAAATTCTTATATTAAAACCTCCAATAACTTTTTTCAAAATCAAGTTCTCAAAAATTCAGATTTCACCTTTAATGGCCTTCTCAGGGTAAAAAAAACTTCAAAATTCAAGCCTGACTTAGGATAGAACTGATAATATTATGAGCAACTGGGTGGTGACATCTTGTCATGTTAATGCCTTGTTAGAATTGTTATCACCTTGAAAACCAACATTTGTCAAATATGAAAGTAAGCAATTTTATTTTTTAAATGGGATTCTTTTCACAAACTGTATTATGGAAGAATTTGAATTGAAAAAATTAAGAAAGTTGTCATAATAAACAAACATAGAAATGTTTTAACAAATACTCCAAATCGGAATTCGTGTTTATTGTTATTAACTGTTCCTTTGTTATTCCATTAAAACAGCACTCAAACGCACTATGTCCATATTGTTCCCATACTTATTGGGGATGGTGTAATATGGATCAACAGTCTGCGTTAATGTCAGTGTCAACGTGCCAATGAAACTGATCGATTTCCAGTTACTATTGACTAATTACACATGCGTATGTGACGCGTGTGTGAACATCACGCGGTCATCATATAGAATTTGAATAAAGATTGTGAAAAATTGGGAGAATGACATTGACTTAAGCTAATCAATCATTTGAAATGTATTTAAAAATATCTGTTAAATAAGATATTCTAAAATTGAGAAATTATTTTCAAAAATACATTTTTATACATAATTGTATGAAGATTCCCAATACAATTTTACTTTATTTCTAGTAATCTTTATTTTCTACTTAATATATCCAAAAGCATTCTGGATATCGGAAGAGAAAGTTGCTTTATTGATTCGCCTGTAGAGCACGAGCACACCCTTCGGTTGTATTTAATATTTCATCATGTAAACACAAAAAATTAGACCCATTTATATTTTATAAGAAAAACACTGTACATATATGCAGTCTAATTACATATTCCTTAAGAAAAACAACATTTTCATGTCATCTAGTTGAATATTGACAATTCTCAAAACAGGTGTGATTTTCACACTTACAATATTCAAAGACGTCATGCCACTCCTTCCATATAACGATCTTTTTATTGCCTAACCGGTGGGATATAGTATTCATGATTGTGGTTTGGTTGAGGTCGTGATCGTCATTGACATATCACCTATTTGTTATCAAGATTACGGGATATCTATTAATCGGTTTCACATGTTCACAGGCTGGTATCGAAATATTTGTCCGCTTCGACGGAGCATGCTATTTTTCATAAAAACACTAAGAATACTTCACGATTTATTTTTTAACTCACATGTTTCGTTATACCATACAAAATTACTTACTCCATGCAATGGATATATCATTTGCGGGTAACTTTCACTTCTGTTTGAAGTCCAATTACGCTGGGAAGAAAAGCTTTTGGAAATGGCGCCGGAGTATCATACTTCAAAATGTACCATTTCTTGTTTAACTTTCTAATGGCACGATATAGTGGCACGATAATATTTACACATGGTTTCAGCATAAATATGAAGGTATAAATGAGATGTTGATGTATTTGGTCTTTTTAATTCTTTTATAAAAAATAATGTTTAATTTTTTTGTCCGCTGTGACGGAGCAGTTGCAAATGTGAACTGTGAAAATGCTCCGTCACAGCGGACAAAAAATATGAATATTATTTTTTATAAAAAAATTAAAAAGACCCAATGCATTAATATTTCATTAATACATTCAGAGTTATGGTGAAAACATATGTTAATATTATCGTGTCACTATATCATGCCATTAAAAAATTAAAAAAGAAATGGTACATTTTAGAGTTTGATACTCTGGCGCCGTTTTCAATAGATTTTACTCTTAGCGTTATTAGACTTCAAACAGAAGTGAAGGTTACACGCAAATGATATATCCATTGCAAGGAGTAAGTAATTATCTTTGATATAACGAAACATATGAGTTAAAAAAAAATCGTGAAGCATTCTTAGTGTTTTTATGAAAAATAGCATGCTCCGTCACAGCGGACAAATCTTTCGATACCAGCCTGTGATGTTAAAGGATACCAAGTTATAGAGCTGATTTTGTTTTATGGCGGCCATTTTATTTAAAAGTTCTTCGGCAAACTGTAGAGAGCTTTCGATAAACGGTGTTCTGAAAACGTAAACCACTTTGGTTAGTCGAAATATGTGGATGCAGTCATGCACATGTTATGTATCATAAGTGCCCGCCTCTGTACTTTTCAATGGAAGAATTTTTCACTTTGTTTAAATAATGTATATTTACTCATCTTTAAACACACATTTGTTGATATTTTAACGGAGAATAGATAACTCAAACGAGTTCACTTGACCAGTTTTATCATCTCGTCCATAGCTGTGAGAAGGTATGTATAATTTGCCATAGGTTTACCTTGTAATTGAGAATAAAAAAATTCAAGTAAATTTATAATATAATTAATTCACGTTTCCAAATATGTCTGTGTGAAGTGAAAGACATGTGTATGGTATGAAATATCCGTTCTAAAAAAGCGATTTAATTATGATGTATCATGTGGATCAGTGGACGTTATTATTGGATTCAAATATCAGACTCACTAGGTTGTAATTGAATTATTTCGAATTTGTATATTTTACATTCCTTAAACGCTCTGATCATACACAATAGGAAGAAATAACTATGGTTACATATAAACTTGATGAATATTTACGTTAACATATGGAGCGCATTTGATGTCTGGTGATAAACTCTAAAACTCATGTGTAATATCAGGAAAAATCTACATATGTTAACTAGATCCAGCAATAGGAACCTCACTCAAAGCCAAGGAATCAGTACAGTAATGTATATACACGCGGGGAAAGTCTACCCGCGTATATACAACCTACCGCCGAGCAAAGACCCGAAGATGTCTGAAAATGTAGGGGATAAGTTAATAAACTCCTGTTTATAAATTGAATTTCTCAATATGAGAAATTGATAAAACACAGAATTATTTGTAACAGATATAGTTGTTGTTCCAGGCACTCATGTTTGCAGAATAATGAGTATGTTATGCAATATTTACTATCGAATCGCTAAATTCAACTTCTAAATATTAGAATGATGTTTTACATCTCAAATAAGTAAGAACCATGACTGTAGTTACTCCATTTGATTCAAATATACAATAGGTGCAAATATATCACATTTGTTTTACTGCCATACGTTACATATCATTGAAATCATCGGTGAAAGTTGAAAATGAAAGACCCGATTATATAGGACCCGATGCTACTGCCTGAGTATTCCAATTATACCGTGAGTAAAACCCGATGAGGTAAGTTTTCGGATTATCATATAATAACATAAGGTATATCACAAAAATTCCTGTTAATATGATTTAATTCCCGCAGCACTATACGTCAACGTCTGTGTCCCGCAAAGTTCTTTAAAACATTGAATTCATGCTTTCACTCGAATCACCATCATTTTCATTGCTGATAAAATCATCACTTCTTTTTGACTATGCTCATAATCCAATGACTTTGGTACATGTTATTTGTATCTATCAAGACGGTAAACATATGAAAACAGTTATATATTTTGATTGATCTAAAATTTGCAATGTTAAAAGACCCGTTATGCTCATTCGCTCTCAATAAGATAAGATATCAGTAGAACGGCTACTAAAATGAAAAAAGGTTGACCAGTAGAGATTAGGAACTTGAAACATATTCATTTTAATCCATAAATATGGATAATAATTGATTTAAATGCAATTTCGCGCTATTCCTATTCTCCAGTGTTGATAGCCTAATTTCTGTTGTGTCAGTCTGGGTCAATTTGTTACAATAGTATTAATAACGAGGAACCCTTCTAATAAAGCTTCGAAAAGTAACCCTAACACTATTTCATCATCAGCACGTCATAAACTCGACGATGTCATCGGATCTCAACAGAATTTACTCAAGTAATGTTTGAGATCCTTTACTCAAGATATTTTCGGATTTTTATTATATTACTCATCGATCACATCGGGTACGATGTCCGATAACATCGGATCTTTTAGGACAAAGTTTATGTGAAGATTTTGCTGTTCAAAAGTGTTAGTTTGACACTTATGGCCTAGTCACATAGCCCGGTCGATGAGGTTCCGATGAGCCAGCGATGCAATTTTCACCGAACTCGGCCGAACACCGGCCGGACACCGGCCGGACATCCGTGGCGTTTGTTGCTTAAAACCGCATCGGTGGCAGCTCGGTGAAATTTTAACTTCGGAGTTAAATTTCACCGGGCTCTCACCGAGCTCCCTCATCGCAGCCCCATCGTAACCACATCAGAACACACGTCGGCCGGTGCACGGCCGAGTATCGGTCGGTGTCCCGTGCATCTGAGACAACCAGCACAGCAAAAAATGTGAATCAAACCACTGAATCCTGGAGCCAGGATTCATACAGGATTCATATGCACATATGAATCCTGTATGAATCCTGCCTCTAGGATTCATACAGGATTCGCTGTTTAAATAGTTTACAAATGAATCCTGCCTTCAGGAATCATACAGGATTCATATGCAA